TTTCTTGGCGTTACAAATAAAAGTAAAGACAAAGTAATAACAAGAAGGCAGAGCGAACTTATCATCCATAGTGGTTCTCATTACACAGTCACGTCCTTCTACGTCATCACCACATAGTATGCGTTATAAGTTAAGTGATCAGTCTCTTAAAGGGCACACCGCACTATAATGTGATGCATAAAAAAACATAGTTTTGGCCGTTACAGATTTCAGGATGAAAAGACAAACATTTCAGGTGAAGGATAATCCACTTCTTACCACAGAGACTGTGTTATGATCAGGGACTGAAATTAACTTTTTCACTCACCAGCCAATTTGGCTACTAAATTTTTAAGTTACCAGCCATTCATAACTTCTACTAGCCAAAAAATAAATAAATCAATAAACAGCTTGAGGCTGTCTACACTGGGCGTGACAAAGTGACCGTTGCAAATCATTTTGTGTCAGTACCTACTAGGGGTGTGCGATATTGACAAAAAATAATATCTCAATATTTTCTGGGATTTTATTGATAAAGATAATTAGACAATATTTTACTGAGTGTGTTATTGTGCTGATATCTTAAGGACTACCGTGGACAGCTGACTCCTAAAGTTTTTGATATTCTTCATATTCTGTGTGGTCAGTTCCCAGCAGTGATAGAAATTTATCTTTTTCAATAAGTTTAAATTGATTGTTATGGGCATTCTTACCTTTGTAAAGCAATTTTTTTCTAAAAGTGTACATCATCTTTTGAGTCAAATTCTTACATTTAATCAGTCACTTATAATAATAATACATTTAGGCTGTTACTAAACAAATTAAATCAGTATCAATAAAATTAATCTTTACAGAAGTTGCATATGAAGAGGCATTTAGATGTATTTACACGTGTTAATGCAGCTTAGAGGGACATGGAATGCTTTAAACTGCAGTTACAAATGCATAAATAATGTTTTGATATTTTAAACATGAAATGTTGAATACTGATATTTGAAATTATTTAAAAAATGAAAAGATACTTTAAAGGGGTCATATGATGCGATTTCAAGTTTTCCTTTCTCTTTGGAGTGTTACAAGCTGACTGTGCATAGATAAGATCCCTGAAGTTGCAAAGTCTCAAACTCAAAGAGATATTCTTTATCAAAGTTAAGACTCTGCCACGCGAGAGAGAGAGAGGGAGGGAGAGAGAGAGAGAGAGAGAGAGAGGGAGAGCGAGAGCGGGAGAGAGAGAGAGAGAGGGAGAGCGAGAGAGAGGGAGAGCGAGAGAGAAAGCGCGAGAGAGCACGAGAGCGAGAGAGAGAAAGAGAGGGAGAGTGAGCGAGAGAGAAGAGGGGTCACATCACAGACCACAGGAACCAGATGAGTCCTCTGCACAATGTGACTTTGCTGAAGCCTGAAATTGAACTGCTGGTTAGAGCGAGAGAGAGAGGGAGAGCGAGAGAGAAAGCGCAAGAGAGAGAGAGCACGAGAGCGAGAGAGAGAGAGAGAGAGAGAGGGAGAGAGAGAGAGAGAGAGAGAGAGAGAGAGCGAGAGGGGGAG